CAATCTCGGATGAATTCTTCAGCTTAGGTCCATTTCTAATACTCTACAAGACGTTTTATGCCAAGTTTAATTGTTTGAAAGCAATTAAAACTGGTTATGGATGACTCATTGATTATTCGAGCTGTGGCTTATGGAAAATTCCAGAGGAATATTTCAGCATTATTTTGGAACCGTTCAAATTCACAAAATGATCTTTTCAGCAAAGTTTTATTGTTTAACAACAGGAAAAACTAGTTCCTTCGATGGCTAATTGAGAAAAACACTAACAACAACCACATCTGTTGCCTGCTCAGACGACAATCCAAGAGTACTCTTTAACAACACTGGCTTGACGAGAGCCCTTCCTTTTTAATCAAAGGTAATGCAAACGCAAATCACATCGGGGTAATTTTTATGCCTAAATAATTAAGTAAAACTGATATAAAAACACTGAAAGATTAGAGTTTCCTACGTAACGAGGATTAATTAGAGTGTACAAGCTTTCACTCGGTACACATTTATGTCTAATCTTTCTTTATGTGTGTAACCAAGGACAGAGAATTTTTCTATTCGAGCGAACGTTTCAGATATAATCGCTTTTCTACCTTGTTGCTCCTATTTCCACCTTTCTCACTCTGAACAACACTTATTCCGGATTAATTCCAGAATTAAATTATAAAAAATGAGATGTTTTCTCTTCAGAGACGAATTTTTGGAGTTAGTAAACCCTGATGAGTAATCAGTGAAGAAACAAATAACTAGGAACGGTTAACCAGTTAATAAATGCACATTATTTAAAAAAAATCATGTTGTAGGTCTACAAAAATAGCAAATAAAAAAAAACATCCGTTTTGTACGGTCTGCATGTTTGCAACCTTTAGGCGCTCTGTTGAGTTAAGCTTAAGAAAACAAATAGAATTCAGTTTACATAAAAAATTACTATAAACTAAAAATACTCCGAACACGTAGTAAATTATATAACCACTTGGAAAAATCAGTAAGTTTAATTCTATAATAAATCATATCCGTAATGCATGACATCTTTATGTATTTTTTTTCAAAAAGAAAAACATTAGTATTAGTCAGGGTGTGTTCATGGGAAGTAGAGAAATAATCCAATCACATATGCTGTGGCCTACAAAAGAATATTCGTTAAAACCTCACTTCTGAGAGAAGTTGTGTTGGACAAGTTTGCGTTATTTCTGTGGCAAAAAGCCACAATGCGGCTTCAAATTCTGCGAAAAGCTAAGCTGCATATCTTTAACGCTGTGTCATGTTCGATATAGTACTATGACGCGAAGTGTGTGGTTTGGAGGAATTCGCCGAGGTTGAGATAATGTTGTGGTTTTTCGTACGAAAACTGTTCAGCTTCCCAAACGACACACCCACCAGCTTAAATACATGGCTTTGACCCTATCTTTATTTTTAAGATGGCTGAATGGTTAAAGCGCTCTTAATGGAGACTCTAGATTTCCCCGCATAGTGGAGGAAGAGATGGTCAGACTGGGGATATTATATTAGGGTGCTGACTGGTGGAGAGGTGAGAGTAAACCCGAGAGAAAGGCTTGATATATATATATATATATATATATATATATGTGTGTGTGTGTGTGTGTGTGTGTGTGTGTGTGTTTTGGATGCTTGATAATGTGATGAGATATGCCAGGGGGGTCAGGGACCAAAATCTAAACAAGAGCATTACTGACATAAGTTGGATTATAAAACTAATAGGCGAATTGCTGAACCTCCGGCATCTCCTCAGCCAACAAGACTGCGATGTGCAGTTACCGGGTAAAGGAAGACATTTTGTCCCATACCGCTTGTCTGCGTTCGGTGACAGAACCGTGACAAAGGACAAATTTACAAAGTTGCTCGACGGAACTGACTGGTCGCAGTTGGTTAATTACGCAAAAGCGGTCCGGGCGTATCGAAAACTAACACTAAATGAATTCATCTAAATGTTTTTTAGATCTGTCTCCCTCTCTCTGTTCTCTGTCTTCGTTTTATATTTCTGTTTCTCCAGTCTCAGTTCAATGATTTTACCTTTCAGGTTTGTTTTCTCTTTCTCTACTTTTGGTTGTTTTTATTCTATTTTTTGACTTTAATTTAACTTTTATATAAGCTTTATTCGATGTGTTATTCATATTTTGTTTATTTCTATTTAAGTACTGCCAATGTGTTAGTAAATTTTTAATTTATTATTTAGTATTTTATTATAAGTACACTATTAGTTTATCATATTTATTTAGCTGAATGTTCTTGTAAGTTTACTTTTTAGCAAAGTTTGTACGATTATTTAGTAATTAATCTAAACTCCGGTAGTCGGTTACCTTGCCGAATTTTACTTTTTGTTTGAAATGAATGAATTTTTTCCGTGTTGGTACAATAGCCTTATAATAATAATAATTATTATTATTATGTTTTTAATAATCGATAACTTTTCGACACATTAATCTAACAATAAGAATATTTTATTTGAGTGTTCATTACATTTACAAGAAAAATGTATAAATAATAAACAATGTTAAACAGTACGGGTGTTTTAGTATAGCGTTGCTATATGTCTAATATTGTAGCGCCTTTATTGTTAATATGTCTCGACTCATGCCTGTTATGTGTCAAATTACCAAATATTATTAATGGTAATATGGTAATAATCAACTAAGATGAATATTAATAAGATCAATTCTAGACACTGCAGCTTAAATTATATTTCTAACGAATGCACTAGTTTGAGTCTTAACTAAAACTTGTATACGAACTAGTTAAAATGCTTTATTTTAAACGAATGTTTATAATTTATTATCTGATTTCTTCTTGAAGTCGACAGAGAGATGAACCTTTAGGTTTATCTTTTCGATCAATTTTGGACTGTCATTTGCGTTTCCTTCCTCCATTCCTATCCATCTGAAGAATCAAACTATGGTGAATGCTCTTTTTGAAGCCAATCCCGTCACCGAAAATCGAGGTGTGTCAGACAGGTGGCCTACAGCGCGATCTTAAATTCGGAAACGGTCGTAAACTGATACGACCAAGGTCAAGGTCATAAACGGTACGGAATTCAACGAGTTATTGAAGTGATACAAAATTGGGTGTTCTGTACCGATTCCTTGAGCCTACTTATGACAGGTTTCGGAGGTGTGCTTTAGTTGGAAAGATACGCCGAACTCGCAATTAGATTAGGACAAGTTATATCCGTCAAGGTGTTGTCCGCAGTCACCCCGCTAGTGTCTGTGCCGATTCCTTGAGTCTGCCAAAGATAAGTTTTCTGTGGGCTTTGTATTATAATTCTAAAAACCCGTGGTAGTTGTGGGGGTTCTAGGACACATAGGTCTCGAGAGAAACGAATACAGTGAAAATGGAATGTCACAACATCCGACCTATCTCGATCCGGCTCTTTCTCTCCAAGCAATAAGATAAGAATGATAAGTCACATCAGGAGAAAAGTCTGAGTAATAACCTAGAACCCTCGATTTGAGTCAGAGAAGACTGATCATCTGGACAATCTAACGGTTGACACATGGTCACTAACTTTTGTTGCCAAGTGAAGTGAAAGAGTAGTTAATCTGTTGAACATAATTTAATGGTGTCGTACAGTTAATGTGCCCAACATAATTGAATGTCATACAGTTGATGTGTTCAATATATCTGAACGTCATACAGTTGATATCACCAATATAATTGAATGTCATGCAGTTGATGTGTCCAAAGTAATTGAATGATGTCTTACATAATCTGATATCATACATTTAATATGTCCAAAATAATTGAGGGTCGTACAGTTGATGTGCTCAACATAATTGAATGTGTCATAAAAATGATGTGAACAACATAATCGAATGATGTCATACAGTTTATGTTCAACATAATCAAATGGTGCCGTACAGTTGATCTGTCCAACTTAATTGAATAGTGTCAAAGCTCCAAATACAGGTTGAATGTATGAGAACTATCGTTTACCAGGGCGTTTCCTGTTCCAGCGGTAAATCGTGTGAATGAATGTATTTATTAGAGTAAATATAGTATAGTATGAGAGGGCTGATGTCAAAATATGAGTACCCCATCGCCCTACTTGAACACATGCACACAAGAAAGAATGTCTATAAGAAAAAGTGAGACTGTGAATATGCGTTTAGTTGAAAAATAGTCTGCGATTAGAACTAAAACTGTTGCTAACGGAACCTAACCGGTGGCTGGACCGACAGCCAACATTTCTTTATAACACAAATTTAATAAATAATGTTTAAATTTATAGTAAACTGAAATGTCGTTAATTATAAATGAAATTTGAATTTAAACAATATCGTTTTTGAACGATATACGAAGGTGTTTCAACTATAACCAGTATTATATTATTCCATATTTTTAAACATTTAGATATTTAAACTATCCAAAACATCAAAATTAATATAAAAAATGGGTTGATATTGTTATAAAAAGTGTCTAAAGCGGTAAGACAATTGCTTGAAAAATACTTTCCCAATATAGGAAAACATGACTCGAAAAGCACTCAATAATAAAACAATAAAATACCTCAAATTTACGAGTTGAAAGTAGTCGTAACTTTTATTAAGTTCTTTTCCAATAGTCAACGAAGTTTCTTGTCGTTCAGTAACCCGTATTCTAGTGCTTAACATATTGCCAACTACAATTAGGACACACAAACCGACTACACGTTCTCCATTGGTTTTAAAACTCCTACTAAATTATGATAGTTATAATTTAATTATTTTTCTTAAAAAAAGTTTCTCGGATTAGAGTTCATGATAATTCTTAATCTTATTAAAATGTATTAAAAATTCAACAAGTTTTCCTATGTTCTTAAGATAAAGTGTACAATTATCAAATTGTCTTAAGTATGGCTTTACAAAAGTATAGAATTTAAGTTGATATAAAAACAACAAAACTGTGTTAAATGATATTTTATTTAAACATTTATTTAACTGAAGTAAAATATATTATATCAATTTTTTTAAAAAGATTTTTCAAAAAACAAGCTATTTAATAACTTTCGAACATACCTTGTTCTGCGTGGTGAATTTGACGTTATCATTAATCCGCCCAGTGGTGATTATTTTCCTCTACCAATCCTGTTACCTACAAACAGAAATGCAATCTTTTTACATATAATAATATTACACGGAATATTTCATTATAGAATTTCCAAATATTCTTTCCATCAGCAAATATGTTTTGTCTGAGCTGTTCGGTCTCTTGTTTGTGTGTTCAGGTATTCGCACCGCGAGGATGTTTTATTTGTTGACAAGTAAGCATTCTTTCCCATTGATGTGTTTAGTTATAAACAAAAAGTAGTTAAATCATAAACAACCAAAACAGCATGATATGAAAAATTGGAACCGTCTTTGCATAAAAATTGGAAGTAATAATTAATTTAATTGGTCAAGCGGACCACGAAACTATTGAATGTAATAATTAATAATAAATCTATAACTAATTAAATAAACTTTATAAGGATTCTAAAATAAAAACATTTTTCTGTTGTTTTTTCCCTAGAAAATAAAAGAATATTTAAAGATGAATATTAAGTTTTGTGATAAACTTTATCACTTGTTTTTCATTGTTTGTATAATTAAAGTGAGCATCGAAAAATCAATAAGCATTTATAGATGCAAACCCATGAAGGAGAATCCTACCGTCTTTTAAGCCAAATATTCACCTTAAGTAAGAACCATAAGTAACATTCGAAATGTAAATATTCCTAGGGGAATTGCAAAAAATAAGCAAAGCAGGTCGTATACAATATTCCCAGATGCCTTTGAACTCGGAATTATTCGTTGCATACGTTCAGGCGAAGTTGTAAATGACTTTTAGCTACGATACTGGCTTAAATTTTAATCTCAACTGAAGGTAGGTGCTTTCCGGGAATATGGATTGCGTGTGAAGCCTGAAAATATCTATAAAATATTGATTACAATCTTCTTAAAAGAAAATGTTATTGCAGAATTAATGATTATCTCGGTATAATTATATCAGCCTTAAATACTAAAATTTAGAATAAAAAAATAATTTTCAAACCAGAATTACTAAAATTTAGAACTAAAAATAATTTTCTAACCAGAATAAGTTTCAATGTTGCAATTAGATGTTGACATTCGTTAATTTTTTTAAAAATTTCTTTCAAATTGGTCTTAGTGATTTTTTAATACAAAATTATAGTATTAATGAAATGTGCAATAAGTACATACCTAGAAAAGTATGACCTAGAAAGGTTTAGACATTAAACGGTGTAAGAGGAGACAGAAGAAAAGAATAAAATAATATTCAAGTGAGAAAAAAAAGTAGACGAGGGAGGAAAAGAGTGGGAGGGTGGCAGGGAGAGAGGGTGAGAGAGAGAGAGAGAGAGAGAGAGAGAGAGAGAGAGAGAGAGGGGGAGAGAGAGAGGGAGAGAGAGAGATGTTTATGTTCTAACAAGAACCTTATTATTTAGTGGTTTTGTAAATTATACAGGTAGTAGCGTGTTCCCTCGCTATGTTAATTTTTTGTCATAAGTTTTACCTAATAGTTTAATGATTTTCGAAGGGAGAAAAAATTACATGGATATGTTTTTGGAGTGGATATAAAAATTTTATCATGAACATTTTCACATCCCTTGGTCGGGATAGGGGTAGTGTTATGGTCAGGTTGGGTTAGGTACGATTATCGTTGGTGCGATGGTTTAGGTAAGATTAAGGTGAGGTGTAGGTTACTTCTATACTTAGGATCAACGTTTTTCCCTGAAGCGGAGAAAAATTTGCGAGTGCAGTGTTTTGATCAAATTTTAGGCCTTTCATTTTATTAATACGTACATAATCCCTAAATTATTTTAAACACTTCAGATATTTACTAGCTTTACTAAAAAAAAAAATTGTTAGAAATTTTACGATAATTCAGAAATATTCCTGTTAAGTGTGGGTTTGTTTGTATTCTCTTTTGATTGGGTCTATTAACTTTTAGAATTATATAGATAAACTAAAAATTCGAAGGGGGGAAATATTTTAAGATGTGCAGACATTATATGTTAAAAGAAGAAGAAAAATACCTTTGCGAGCCTTAAAAGATAAAAGGTAGGATTTTTGTCTCACCCACAACATGTATTTATGAACGTACAGGACGGCTGTACATCAGAGGCCAAGGTTTCTTCGACCCTAGTTTTAACTCGGACAAATACGGGACAGTTTGTTTTGGTCGAAAAAGTGGGCGAAAAAACAAAAGATCTTTTCCTTTGCCTCCTGACCCATATACTGGATTTGCCGATCCAGAGGAATAAAAGTTCCAGCTAGTAAGCAACTTCGGCCGGTTTGATAAAGCTTCGGCTCCTCGGTGGAAATTAGGGTGAAACAATGTTTCACAAAGAGGAAGTGGCAATCGGAAGAAACAACCCGACCAGAGCAACGCGTCGGAAAAGGCCATTATAAATCACACGGCATTAAAATGAAATTTTAGATACATTTTGCAAAATACGAGACATTGAAATTTTTCAGAAGACTTAAGGAAAACTGTTTTTGGAAAATGTTAAAGTCAATATTTCAGATCATTTCTTTATATATTACATATTATTAGAGTTTACTCTCATAGAAGACTAGTTTAGTTGAATTAAATACAAAGTTATTTGTTAATAATCATAGTTTGTTCATTGGAAAAAATCTGTGGATAATTTTCGCCTGTTTTTATAACTATTACCAGCTCGGACGTTTGTTTCCATCCAATCCGATTAAGTTTTTATTTGATAAAAATAAATATTTGGTTAATTAAGAACGTAGTTATACAGTCACCCGCACAACACATCAATATAAACGAGTATCACTTTGTCTATTATCTTTTCTATCTCTCGCCATCTTTCAGTTATACTTCTGTTCTTATCATCGCATTCCCGGTAAATACTTTTCAGTTAGCTATGCCAATAGCACGTTTTTCATATGGTTTAATCCACAAGGATTTTCTTGAGTTGGGTTTTAAACTGCTGACGAATATTATCGATCAATCTAGAGAGTAGATAATTTCGCCTTAAAGTTAGAGCATCTCGAATTGCTTTGGAAAACTTACATTGCTTCCTAACAGAGAGAGAGTGAGAGATAGAGAGAGAGAGGTGTGAAAAAGATAGATAGATAGAGAAAGAAAGATATATATAGAGAGAGAGAAATTGNATATAATAATAAAGGTGATGATGTTTTACCTTGATTTTACATTTATCTGAAGCATGTACATTGATTTAAAATTTCGAAAAATACAAATTTACCATAGCAGTTGTTTTTTATGTCTTTCATTTAAAACCTTTTATTACAACGATAAATAATCTCAGTACTGTTGATTTACGTTTGGTCGAATAATTCACGTGTTACTGCCATTGTCATTACACTTAACCTAGAAAAGGAAATGACTTATGTTTTTTTTTGTCACGCGTAGGGTTCTCCGTGATTTCCATTGAGTTTCGGCGGGTTGTGAACTTGGGTGAACTCTTCACCGCTTCCTTCTTCATTCGAGGATGCCTTATCTCATTTTTCTTATGTAAAAACCAAAACAACAACAAAAAGGCCTTCCTTTTTCAGTCCGTTGAGAGAACAAAAGTGGATACCGTTCCGGACAACGATCCACACAAGGGACCTTTGTAATTTTTTAATGGAATTATACCATTATTGTTAAAATACCATTTTTTCCTTTACTGCTTCGTCGGCCTTCTTAACTACACGCGTTTCGCATTAAACCTAGCACGTATCTTTCTAAATAATTATAAAACAATTAACTTCCTACTTTTGTTTATGAAAAACAACAGGTAGCTTTTTCTTTTTCTTATTCTATTTCTTTTCAGTTTCTTATCAATATATTATATCTTATCGGAGATACGAACTTGGAATTTTTGAAATGGGAGTTCAATCGTAAGACTTGGTTATAAAACTGTCCTACTGGTAGTTTAATTATAATTCGTACTCAAGCCATAATCCGGTGTATAAATTGTTCGTGAGTTCAAAAAAATCGTGGCAAAATCCTGAAGAAACAGTTATTAAAACTGACTTCATCCTATTCTAGAATCTCAGTCCATAATGCACAACCATCAATTTGGGTTTTGAGTTCGACACTCACTGTACAGCAGCGCATCTCGGCAATTTTGAAACCGTTATATTATTTGATCGTTGACCTTGCTGACACAGTCCCTTAGTTGGATGCCGTAGGTCGACATGGGCTTGAGGATCGGTTGGTAAAAGAGCATACTTTCATTGGGCAATGAAGAGTGCCTGCCGATCAACCAGTACATTTTCTACATACCTCTGCGAGAACATTATTCCTTTCGTGGATACTGATACCTTGGACAATTAAATGGGGGTAGGTGTTCTGCATGGAACTCCGAACACAAGACTAAAAAGACGGAAACTAAAACGACTATAACTACTACTCGACAAACTTCTTGACCAACTCTCAATTGGTTGTCAAGAAACCAGCTCTGACAGATATTTCAATTATTTCTTTTCTCACTCTTTTGGTCAAAAACTGAATTGTGCTAATAATTCTATACATAGGGTTTTGTCACTAAGCACATGCTTCTGGAGGGAAATTAAAGAGTTAGCTTTCCGAACATTAAATAACAACCTCAAAACATTGGTTAGATTGTTAGATATTAATTCAAGAAAGTAAACACATTGTAAAAAAACAGATAGAAATGTGAACAATTTTTTCACGTCCCGTCCCAGAGTTTACACCCAATTTAAAATATTTGATAAGGAAATATTTACCCGACATCAATAGTTACAATACAAGAATAAAATGAGCTCTTTATAAACTAAACTCAAGGATAAGGAAGAAAAGTTGAATTTATCGAATGTTGTATATCTCGTATAGTGAATGTCCAATCACATTGGTAAACAAAACAGAGAATAAAAAATAAAATTTATGGTCATGTTAATGATTGTGGCAATAGATCTAGTACTGGTACCGGACTATCAAAACATTCAATATCAAGTAGGCATAAATTTGAGTTTTCGAATGTTGAATTATATAATTGACAGAGTCTCAATTACTCAGGAAAAAAAAGAGGTTCTACATACTAAAATGGAAAACGATAATTGTAACATTCAAACAGATACTACAGGCTTAAGTTCAATGTA